GGATCCAATAAAATACCATGCCATTATAACGTTCCCATATCAAAAACTTGTCATCAGTTTTTGGTGGTGCCTAGTCCCGTTGATAAAGTTAATTTTGTTCTTGGAACTTAGAGTTATTCGCATTGCGTGGCTCCATTGTCCATAATAGACTACTTCGAGTATTTTGGAGACAAGAACCAAATCAAGATGATCGGAATGATGTAAAGTGAGTGGATTCGATTAATTGATTGTCGTCTCAGATTTCGAAGTTTCATCTCCCATAGTTGCAGTAGGAATTATTTTTGAGAACCATTGAAGCTCTAATACCATGTGAAATTTGGATATGGAAGAAGAAAAAGTTTTGTTGATTTTCTGTGTGTGTGTATCAATACAAGAGTGTTACATATATACTTCCAATTTCCCCAATTCTAGTCTTCCACACTCAAAATAGGGCAACAACAATAAGGTAACAATAATCAAGGAATCAATACAAATTAATGCAAATGCTTATTTCCTTCTATAACAATGCAGAGATTTCTTTCCTTCAATAGTATGAGACAAAAGATTGATGACATAAAAGAAAATGCCAATGTGAGCTTTATTTGCAATAAATATGAGCTACATGAATCGTTTTGACGTTACGTTCAACCAGTACTACATCTATAGAAATATTAAGATTGTATCACCATATCACGTGATGATAATTTCAATGAACTTCTCCCTATTCTAAAATGTTTTATGGAGTCAGATTTTTATTTTTTTGGAAACGCGAGTTTCTTTAGGTCTACTAGATATTTCTAATCGTGCAAGTCCTTGTTCATTTTACTTTTCTTCGTGTAGTGTCAACTCAATATGCTAATATATGTTCATTTTACAATCTGTTCATAGCTCCTTCCTCTCTAATTTGAATATAAATACCAATACAAACAATGTTTTGGACGTGATTTTGATTTCAATATCATTAGTATTCCCATTATAACTAAAAGAATAATGCTATTTAACACCAATGATGTTAGAACACCAA